CCCCTGTGCCAACCCGCGCAGCACGCAGGGCCGCGCGCACGCGCAGGGCCCGCTGTGCGCTTCCTGGGGCTCTACGCATCACTGTCCTAATGAAATCACGTAGTCGTATTCGGGCGCTAAAGCCCTTCCTTGAGCCGTTCAATCAAATCCAACCTCTCCAGCTCGCCGCCGTCCTCGGCAACCACACTTTCGGTTTGGGGCCTTATCGCCCCAACACCCTCCCCTTTGCCCTCCGCTTTCAGACGGAGCTGGAGCGGGGCTCACCCGCGGACCGTAACTCGCGCGTTCGCGCTGCGAGCTCTAGCTGCAACTCCCAGAGGCCTCGGGGTCGTGCTGCGGTTCCAGGCGGAACCCGGAAAGGGAGGTTGAGGGGTCCGGGCCGAAAGGAAATTATCCGGGAGGGGGGCGGAGGGGTGTCCCTCCAGGTTGGGAGCCGGATCTCGCTCGCGCCTTCACTGAACAGCCCCAGAGTCCTTGGCGCGACGCCTTCGCGGGCCCGAGACTACATCTCCCAGGAGACCCCGCGGCCGGCTTCCGCCCGTGTGCGCGGCGGCTGCGGGGCTGGCGGGGACGCGGGCGCCCTTCTGTGGCGGCGTGTGGGATGACCGCGAGTGTGTGAGAGAAGACGCGAGGTGTGACCCCGCCCCTGTCGTCCGGGTCCGGAGTGTGGCTGCATTCGTGCACGGGGGGCCGATTGTGTTATCGTGTGTATGTGTGAGGATGAGCCATTGTTCGTGAACGTGTGACTGTGTGTGTGCGCCTTGGGGCCCACAGATGATGTGTGTAGAAGCTACCGTGTCTGGAAGTGTGTGCTTCTGTATGTATGCGTGTGGCCTGGTTTTTGTGGTTGTGTAGGTGCGTGTGGAAAGCTGCTGTTTGTGACCTTGTGTGTAGAGATCCAGTTCTGCGTTTTTATAGGTGTGTGTATATGTAATTCTGATTCCAATTCCAGTGTGTGGATTTTTGCCTCCACCATCAAGCAATTTTCTGACAGTAGCTGGGTGTCCTACAGTTCAACTTAATTATGTCCCTAAGGGTGTCCTCCCATCAGACACCAATCACAAGTCCAGGTATCCCGTGCACTTCTGACTGACCCATTATAGGCTGGAGGTTCCAGTGACCCCTCCTCATGTTAGAGCAGGCAGACAGCTAGATATGAGCAGAGAAGGGGAGGCATGGGCCAAATGGCTCAAAACCATACATCTTGTGATCAACAGGGGTCTCTGGAAAGAGAAAAGAAGGAACCTCTGGACTGATAATAAATCACATTTGAGGGTTACAAGTGTCCTGGAGGCAGGCAAGGAAAAGTGGGGAAAGGCAGGAACCTCTAGTGTCCAAATGTAACCTTTTCCTCATAATGCTCTCATTACAATAAAATTAGCCTTGCAGATTAGAAGCACCCATCATGCGCTGATGCCATGACATTTCTGATCCAGACTAAATGAGAAGGAAGAGCCCTCCTCCCCTCAGGAAGGTGGGACTGGGATGAATATCAGGGACTACGACCCCAAACCCTTCCCTCCCCAATGAATATTCTGCCCATTTATTTTTACACTCTATGCAACCAACTTGCCAAAGAAACTCAGCGCAGCTGCTCACCTGAGCCTGCCTGCTCTCCCATGGAGAGTCCTGTCACTTAATAAATCCTCACTCTACTTTCTTGACCTCCATGTCTCATCTCTGAATTCTTTCTGAGACAAGAACCTAATCGCTGGCAACACTTGGGTTTGATTAATTTGCGAGAACAGCTCACAAAACTCAGGAGAAATGTTTTACTTACCTGATTACCCACCGGTTTTTATAAAAGGATATAACTCAGGAATGACCAGATGGAAGAGATACAGAGGGCAAGCTATGTGGGAAGGGGTACAGTGCTCCTATGCTTGCCACTGTTCCAGAACTGCCATGTGTTCACCAATCCCGAAGCTCTCCGAATTCCATCCTTCTGAGTTTTTATGGCGGCTTCATTACTTAGGCATGATTGCTTAAACCAGGACTTCAGTGACTGAACTCAGCCTCCAACACCTCTCCCCTCCCCAGAGTTAAGGGGATGGAACTGAAAGTTCTGACTCCTGAATTACTCGGTTGGTTCCCCTGGCAACCAGCCCCGTACTAGTCATCTCATTAACATAACAAAAGATACCTCGTCTGGCTCTTCACAAAGGAAATTCCAAGAGTTTGGAGAGCTCTGTGCCAGGAGCTAGTGAAGAACAAATACATATTTCTCATCATGTATCACAACATCACAGTATGTGCGGGTGGGGTGGGGTGGGGAGTGGGTTCCAGTGCTTGTGGTTATGTTGATATGACTCTATGAGTGAGTGAGTTTCTGGGACTGTGTATCAAGAGTGAATGTGTGAGATTAACAAATTTAAGAATAAAAACCATATCATCATCTCAATAGATGCAGAAAAACCTTTTGATAAAATTCAACATGCATTTATGATAAAAAAAAACTCTATATAGAGAGTGGGCATAGAGGGAACATACCTCAACATAATAAAGGCCATATATGACAAACCCACAGCTAACATCACACACACTGGTGAAAAGCTGAAAGCATTTCCTCTAAGATCTGGAACAAAACAAGAATACCCACTCCCACCACTTTTATTCAACACAGTTTTGGAAGTCCTAGCCACAGCAATCAGAGAAGAAAAAGAAATAAAAGGAATCCAAACTGGAAAAGAAGATGTAAAACTGTTACTTTACTAAATTAGGAGGTTGGGATTAACATAAACACACGACTATATATAAAATAGATAAACAAGGACCTACTATATATAACAGGGAACTATATTCAGTATCTTGTATATGTATAATTGAATCATTTTGCTGTACACCTGAAACTAACACAACACTGTAAATCAACTCTACTTCAATAAAAGAAAACAAATAATTACAATATTTTTTAAAAGTAGACAGCTGCATGCTAAGTACTATACAGAATCCACTATTTGGATGATAGTGTATCATTGTAATCAAAAGGAGCTGCGTGCATACGATTTTGACCAAAGAATACTATCTATTAAAATAAATTATTTTCATTTTTGAAAAAAAAAAAAAAGAGTGAGTGTGTGAGGAGTTTGTGTTTCCCAGCTCTGTGCCTAGATAGTGGTAATCAAAATAGCAGCTAACAGTACTATCATTAGGGCTTTCAGTGTTACTACCACGACCACTAATACCAGCAGTCAGCAATTCCCCACTGCTGTCCTGGGTCTAAAGTGTATTTTCCACTTAAGGTTTTATTTAATCCTTTTAACCCTTGTCTGAGTTGTTTCTACTGAAATCTCCAGTTTCCAGGTATATAAACTGAGGCACTGGGAAGTTAAGGACCTCACCCAAGGTCACACAGAAAAGAACAGAGCTGATTTTTGAATCCAGGTCTTGCTGACTCCAAAGATCTTTGCAACCCTTCCAGGTTTGTTCTTGGAGTTTGTTCTTCTTCTTGGACTGGGAGATTCTTCTGAGTACCTGGTGGTGCTGGGACAAAAGGGGTGGCCAAGAGATCCAAGAAACCTCAAGATAAACCTGTAACTTGGCAGGTTCTGTGTTTTCCTTAGACCACCTCCCCAGGATGAGTATCATTTCTTCTGCTGTTCAGAGGAATTTGATGGAGAAGTCTGGGAAACCCTGGATAGACGAAAAAGCTTTATGCATCCAGAGACCAGAGTGCTGGGGGTCAGATGTCCTGAATCCCGATCCGGCTTGTTCTGTCTGTCTTCTGAATGAGGCAACCTTCGCCCAAGAGGCAGGTGAACTTATGGAAGGCAGCAAGTCTGTCCCAGAACCAGGCTCACAATGCAGGCCTTTTCTTTGATCTGGTCAGTTTCTCCCTGGCATCCTAACCTCTGTTGACATTTTGAAACTCATACCTACTGTCTAGGAAGCTGCTTTCCCTCAGGAATTGGCCAGAGGCTGGGCACCCACAGGCCCTGGGACTGCTAAATAAACTGAGGAATGAATGCATAAATGAATGAACACTGCTAGTTTAAACACACAAAACTGAACTTTAAAGACATTACAGTATTTCTTAAGTGAAATTTTGAGAGCCAAGGTTCAAACCAGAAATTTCTGATACAAAATCACAGTGATATTCCAGAGCTTGAGCTTAATTTAAGCCTTTTTTTTCTTGGCTTTTTCATTTATTCTTTTATTTATCCAATATTTTCATTAGTTATATGCCAAGCTTTTGCCAAGTTGGTGTAAAATGGTTAAATAATAACAAAATAAAGATGGTCTTGTTGCAGCCGAGGGTAGGCTGCTCCAAAGTTTGCCTCAATGGCATATAGACTGTTTTGAATTAAAGTTACATAAGAAACAGCTGGTGCAAGAGGGACACTTTGATCCTCCTCTGCATTTCCTGGAAAGCAGGAAATCTACCATGTGAAAGGTGCTCTCCCTGTACCAGGAGGCAGAGTGACATCCTTACCACCAAAGAGGGAATTCAGGGCCAAGAAGCCTGTATGAACAAATCTTGTTACTACTTACCACCCAATTTACCACCCAAATCCAACTCTGTTTAGATTCTTCACTAATTTAGCACTCAAAACCTAAGTTTCTTTGTCCTATTAATTCCTCACAAATCTATCGCTTCTCTTGTCTAAAAAGTATAAAGCTGCCTGCTTTGGCCACTTTCTGGGTCTCACTTCTATGAATTAAAGTTTGTTTCTTTTTCTCCTGTTAATCTGTCTTGTGTCAATTTTATTATTAGTCCAGTCACAAGAACTCAAGGTGGGTGGGGAATTTCTTTCTTGTTGACAGTCTGCAGAGTCATGCAGATCACAGTCAAATAAATAGCCCTTCCAGTAAACAAGCAAATAGGAAGATTAGGATTGACCAGGGTCACGAAGCAGTGGCAATGACAAGGACAGACTTCTGGAATCCTGGTGTTTCACCATCAAACCTTGTACCATCCCTCTGGGAGAACAAAGCGCTCACAAAACCCAACGTGCCCAATTTGCAGGTCACCACACTGAGACCCCAGAGCGGAGGAGGGACTTGTCCAAATCCCCAAACGATGATCATGATGGCCATGCGGGAGGCTGACACTTGAGTGGTCACTGTGCGGGCACCGACCTAAGGCTCCTTAACCCTCACAACAACCTTACGAAGGAGGCAAGTTCTAGCATCCTCCTTCTTCAACGACTAGGGAAACTGAGGCGCAGCACGTGTGTACCTTGCCCAGGGTCCCAGGGCTAGTAAGAGACGGAGAATGGGCTCCACAGGGCACTTCGCAAAAGGGGAAACCAAGGCCCAGAGTATGGAAGGGGGCGGACAGGGTGGGCGGCTGAGAGTCCGCTCCCCCTTCGAATCTGCTCCGTCTCCTCCCTGGGGGAGCTAGGACGTCACCTGCGAGCGAGGAGGGGGCTCTTACCGCGGAGACTGGGAATCCCATTCGGAAACCCGGGGAGGGTCCGGGGATCTCACTCACCTCCGGGGGCATTTCGACAGAGCCCGCACTTCTGGCCCCGGGAACGCGGCCCGGAGCGCCTAGCGTGCGCAGACTTGGCCTCCCCTCTGCGCGACCTGCGACACCGCTGAGTCTCCGAAGGCTTGTGGATCCCTGGACTCAACTGACGGAGAATGCTCTCGGGGCTAACGCAATGCGCACGCGCACTTCTGACCTGTCCTTTAAAACTGGCGGTGTGGCCGCTCCGCCAATCGGAATCCTTCCCTCAGCCTGGCCCCGCCCCATTCTTCAGGTTTCCGGCGTCTCTGTCTCCAAGGCAACCCTTCGACTGAGGACCTGGGAAAGTGCGGCCCGAAGACTTCTGGGTATTGTAGTCTCAAAGGGGCAGAGAAATGGGAGGCGCACTTGTTCGTAAAAGGAAGACTGTGATAAAAATGCCTACATCCAGGGATGACTGCGTGGATAGAAAGCGCGTGTAAATGGTTCACCAACAGTTATTTGCTAAGGAAGCAGGAAGGCATTTGGAGGAGGAGCAGGAGGGGAAGGGAGAGGGAGAAAGGTGGCCGCAGAGGTTTCTGGGAGTTGTAGTTCAGCACGCTGCGACCCGCACCTCGGATCCGGTAGTCGTCGCCGAGCAACCGAGCAGCTGATGGAAGTGAGCCATGTCCCCGACTCATCGTTCCCGTTTCCTTCCCCTGGTCCTGTTTGCCAGGCCCTGCCACGGCGGCCGGGCCCGTTCGGTGATCTTGTGGTCAGTTGTGGAGGCTCCACCCTCCGTTGTGGACTTTTCTGAGCGTGTCGCGGTCACTACGGTAACACAGCTCGTTCAGGCCGGCCCCTGGCGTGGTGACGTCACGCGTCGGGCCTTGCGAGAGGCAGTGGGCGCGTGCTCATGGGGAGGGCGACGGTGGGCGGGCCCTGGGAGGATCCCTGGGGCGGGTGTAGCACCTGCGAGCTGCCAGCCTGGGGTCGGATGTTTTCTTGAAATAATCAATAATAAATGGTCGTGCCTGCATGCCTGCTTTCTAGTAAGTGCGAGAGACCTCGCTGGATTCATTCGCTCGTTTTTCTTTCTATTTTTTGCTCCCAATTTGGTTGGAAACCCTGACTTTCCATTTCACTCGTGTCTCCCAGAGAACTGGGCCCCTACTTGGTCTCAGGGGCACCCCCGGCTCCCCTGCCCGCCCTGGGCCTTCCTTTATTCATTCAGCAGCTCGTCTTTAAATGCCCCGAAAGAGCCAGTTGCCAAGGAGACAGCGGTGAGCCGACAGAGGAAACGGGTGGTTGCAGCGAGGAGACGCGGAAAGTGAGCCCGTGTTTCTCAGCCTCAGCGTTATGGACATTTGGGTCTGGGGGCCGTCCTGTGCACTGTAGGGTGCAGAGAAGCACCCCTGGCCTCCGCCCAGTGCTGCCAGGAGCCACACCCCGACCCTGACCCCGAATCATGACAACTAAACCCAGCTCCAGACACTGACAAATGTCCTCTTGGTGGGCAAAGGCAGCCCCCTCACCCCACCACCCTAACCAATGCTTTTCAAGGACTTTTCCTAAAAACAAAAAACACTGCTTTTCGTAAGCACTCGTCCTATGTTGGAATACCTTGGGCACCTAGTAAACTCTCACCAGCTCCTTAAAATCTAACATTTGTATATTTGAAAGTTGCTGAGAGCGGATCTTAGAGGGTCTCATCACAAGGAGAAAAAAAAAAAGCTACGTGAGGTGATGCATGTTAACTAAACTTATTGTGGTGGTCATTTCGCAGTATATACATATATCAAATCATGTTGTACACCTAAAACTAAGGTAATGGTATATGTCAATTATAGCTCAGTAAAACTGGGGGCAAATCTAGTATCGATTGCTGTGTTGAGCTGACACATTAACAAAATTCAGTTTTAAAGAAATTTAAGAGCCCCTCCACCCCCTTCACCACCACCATCCCCACCATCAAAGGGAAGGGGTGCTGGATGTACAAGGCCATTAAAGACACGCGGGGGAAGTTACAAAAAGCCAATGTCAACCAGCACGTGAAAAGATGCTCTATATCACAAATT